GTAGCCCAGGCTGGCCTCGAACTCACAGAGATCCTCCTGGCTCTGCCTCCCGAGTGCTGGGATTAAAGGCGTGCGCCACCACCGCCCGGCTACATTTTTGTTTTTTAACTGGGGTCTCACTACGTAGCCCTGGTTGGCCTTGAACTCTGCCTCCCAAGTGAGGGAATTAAAGGCCTTGCCACTATGTCCAGCTTCTTTGGGCTTTTTAAAGAGGAGGATAAACTCAGGTAGGATGAAGAATATCTGATTAGAAGCCAAGCACAGCCATTCCTGAACAGGTAGATACTGCACCATGAAAACAGCTAGAAGCCTGCTTCCTAGTGGCTCAAACGTCCCTTTAGGATACAATGACCTCCTTCCCGCTCTCTAAGCATTTGCTGTACGGTGTGGAGGAACAAAGCTGGCAGGTCCAAGTGAGAGACCATGTGTAAATCTTGCGGTAAATAGCTAATATCTAGTAAGCATTCGCTCCATTCCAAGAACTTTGCACTCGACCCTCCAGCCAGGCTGTACCGAAGGATGGCATTTCCCGCATTTACATGCGAGAAAACAGAGTCCTAGAGGAATGGGGAAACGACTGGCCCAGTATCCCCCAATTAGGAACTGGTAGAGGAGGGGAAACCAAGATCCGTGCTGGGATCACTTCTGTCCTAGTCAGAAGGTCTAGATTTTTCTTCAAGATAAGCTCAGCTCGTGGAACCAAACAAACAACAGATATCGGTGCCACTCACTCAGCCCTGAGCCCCCGCTGTGTGCTGCCTGTGACACTGTGACGCTTATGCCCTCTGCCCTTTATCTTCAGTAGCACCCTCCCTATTCGGGAACATTCTGCTACTTGGAATCTTGGAACGGTCAAGGGTCACAGATAGACCTCTCCAGAACCCAAAAACAAGCTTCGCCCCACCCCCGCCCTTGGCCAGGCACTCAGCTTAGGTCACCTGGGAGCCTGACAGAACACAGCTTCCAGAAACACTCACTCTCACCCCAGGGAAGGAGCATCTGCAGGTTCCCACCGTGGCCTTCGAAATCCTCCAGGAGCCCGAACTGGCCTCCCAGACTTGTCTTGCCCCAGGCCGCTATTCCTTGGGGAAATGTTCAGCCTCGCAGGCAGAAACAACAGAAATCCAGCAGGAAGGTAATTTCCAGACTGAAGGCCAGCATTCCCTGAATGGCTCAGCACACAGGCAGGACTTTTCAATTCCCCTCACAGCACTAATATCAAAGAGTCACGCAAGAGGATTCCAGCGTCAGCACTGGCACTCCACAGGCTTAAATGTCCATCTAAAAGGGCCTGATGTAGGTGGAGCCTGGTGTCACAGGGCTTATCATTCCAATTCGGAAATGGAAGCAGGAGGAACTTCAGTTCAAGTCATTCTGGACTTGATAGCCAGTCTCCATTAAAAAGAAAAAAAAAAAAAAAAACAGGGAGAGAGTATTCAAACAGGGTGGACATTTACATAGCCCTTAAAAATGCCAGGCAGATCTCTGTGAGTTCGAGGCCAGCCTGGTCTACAGAGTGAGATCCAGGACAGGCACCAAAAACTACACAGAGAAACCCTATCTGGAACCCCCCCCCCAAAAAAAAAAGTAAGGGAATATAAATAATATGTGCATGATTTTATTTTAAATGAACAGGATAGTCTATTATATAACTGCCTTCGGGCTGAGGAATAACACGGCTAAAAGACAGGCGTAAGAGGAACTATTTTGTTGCCATCCGTTGGTATTTAAATACATTACCCATTCTAAAAATCAGTGATGTCTGTTTTTACCCTGTTATCATTCCGCCGTCTTGATACCGCAAACAGGTCTCGAAGCTGTAGATCAATGCGCGGGACGATCAACTTCCTCAAGGATTAAAATGCTGGACCTAGTGCAGCGAGATCCTGGATCCTAGGGAAGGTGTTAGCTCTTTGGCATGACTTTTCAACAGCTATATACTGGACTAAAACAGATATACGATATACCTCAGAGTTGTGATTTAGATCCAATTAAGTAAGCTTCTGTTTCAGCCGACAGCATAACGCTCACAAGACTGGCTCGCATCATAAAGACAGCAACTTTAATCACAGAGCATGTTAGCTTTACATCCTTGGAGAACGATTGCTGGTCACTTAAAAATCGGACAGAGGCTCGAGGATACACGCAAAACTATCGACACCGTATGTCAAGAGTAGAACAGGAAAGGTCTATGTTGAGACGAAGGCTGAACACCTCAGTGTGCTGACATAACATTCCACTCGCGAGACTTGAGCAGGGCTAGCTTACCGCTATAACCTGACGGAAGCATACAAGGCCCACAATCCAAAGCGGAAGCAAAGGGCTACAAACCAATGGCTGCTCCTGGAGCGGGACGAAGGCATTTCCACACGCGGACCTACAAACTACAGCCATGGCCATTGGTCGGCTTGACACTCCTGGGCGGAGCCTGGAGGGGGCGGAGCCTAGCGTGACATTTCCCGATTCGACATGGGTTCCCGCGCATCTCTCAGATATAATTGACATCCAGGGTATATCCGGCGGGACGTGAGGAAAGCGCTGCACTCCAGAGCCCTGCACTGCAAACGCTCCGCCCGCGTCCTCGCACCTGTCTGCGCTGCACCCCGCGCCTCGCCGGCCCCGCTGCGCCGTCTACATGATGCACGTGCGGCCCCGCAGCCCCAGCGTCGACCCCGAGCCCTGCTGGCCACCTCAGCCACAAGGACCCAGCCCGGCCAAGCGCCGCCGCCTCCACGAGCCCGCCCGCCACGAGCCCCTGGCGCCGCCAGACATGGAAGCGCCCGCCGGACCCGCCAGCGACGCGCTCACCTCCGTGGTGTTCCTGGCCGCCGGCTGCGCCATGCAACTGCAGCTGGAAGACGTCGACCTGCTGCTGGAGCCCGAGCCCACCTCGGTCCTGCAAGTGTCGCTCCCTGGACACACCTTAATCCTCGTCCCCGAGGGCCTCCAGTCTTCCGCCCATCTTGGACAGCCTGGGTTCTGGTCCGCCAGCCCGCAGGAGGCGACTCTCCTGGAAATGCCCCAGGGCCACTTCATCGTCCTCCCACAGGGATCCTTCTGTGAGTACGTCTTAGACAGTTCCTACCAAGAGGACGCCTGTGATGAAGATGCAGACTTGGGCTTCCTGTCACCTTGGATGGATCCTCCAGCAGGTCAGGCCTCTGGGCTCCTTTCCTCCATCATTAGGATGCCCAGTCCTTGGCCTCAGGGCCGCATCACAGAGCCACATGCTCCGATGGCCTCCTCTAATGCAGAGCGATATTCTTCCAGGTCTATCTGGGACCTGGACAGCTACCTGCTGGGACCCTTCCCTAGCTCACCGCTGCAGCCTCTGCCTCCATCTCCTCCTCCGAGTCCTCAAGAGCAGCGCCCTCCACACCCTCCACACTCTCCACGGGCCCCATGCAAGGCCCGGAGGCGACTGTTCCGTGAATGAACTGCCCCTCACAAATCCTTGAAGCCCTGCAAGCGAAAGGCTTCCCAAAGCCATTTGCACAGTCCACAAGGCTAGAAGGACACTCTTGTTTTTGAAATGGGCAGAATGCAGAATATTGGATTGGTGGTTGGCTAGAAAGTCTGGAAGAAAGATCCATCGCTGCCAGATCACATCCTGTTTAAAAATCACCTACTTTGGGACCTTGAATTGACTGCTTATGCCCTTTTCTATACAGAAGTCACCCTTAAGTAGTCTTGTCCTTGCAGTCCTGGTTTTGCCCCAACTTTCAGTTTTACTCCAGCGCTTTTCCTTAAAATTCCGCCCTACCATTCACCCTTTCCCCAAACTTAATTACTTGAATTAATTAGTCATTAGTAGTGAAAATCGTTTATGTTATGAGCTTTAGCACTAATCTCTCCTCCTCTGTACCCACTTTTTTGCCATGGTCCCTTTCCTTCCGGAGGCTATTCCTCACTTGGGAGAATCTAGCAAATGGTTGCACCTCACGGATGCTGTTCTTTATGAAATAAATTTAGCAAGGAAAGCAATGATCATGTTCTTTTTTTAATAATTAAGAAGTAGTTTATGTTGGTGGGGCTTTTGTTTGTTTGGGGGCTTGTTTAGACTTGACTTTAGAAGGAGTTGGGTTTTCTTTCTCGTTTTCTTTCCACAAACACCAAATCTTTTGATATCATTTTCTGTATTTTTAATATAGTTCTCTTGTTCTGGAGGTCATAATTCTAATGTTATGATAATTAGTTATAAGACTATATTGTTAGAATAATTAGAAGATCCCAAATTTATGTTGTTCATTGTTACTATTGTATAGATATGTCTTATGTTGATTTGATATCCAACAAAATTTATTAATTGCTTTAGTAATTTTATGTACCTTCTTTTGGATGGTTGATTAAAAAAAACTAATGAAAAAATTAGGGCCCTTAACACATCTAAAACATCTTATTTTTCCTTAACATTTTCTATTGGATATTTAACTTCAATTGAAGTGTATTTGGGAGGGACATTCCTATTGTAATGCACTTACTTAAATTTTATCATAGAATATTATCTTTTCTGTAAATAGTTGTTAGTCTTTGTCCTGTTGAAGATGTTACTTTATAATATTTCTGATCATAAAAAAATGTTGGATTTTTTGGTTTTGGCTAAGTACAAAGATTTTGTCCAAAATGTTGGATTTAATAATGGAATCAAATTGTATTTTAAGAATTTGAGCATTAAAGTATCTTCATACATGAGTTATGTTGAGCCCTGAGTCTTTGGCATACACCCATACACACAGTAAGAGAACAAATGAGACCAGGATTGGAACTAAAGGACTTTTTAAAAATTAGATGCTCTTTTAGAAACTTGAGCAGAGATGGTTAGAATGAGAAATGATTGAAGAGTTGCCTTAAGGTGTCAAATGTTAACATTTTAAGAAATGTTTGCTTTGTGCATGGTGCTCCACACTGTCTTTTTCAGTCCTTGTGGTGGCGTGGCAGTGACAGGAATTACAACTGAGTAAGGTTCCCTGCATCTCTGCTACTCCAGAGGATTTCCTTGAGATTGTAATTACACTCCGGGATGGTTTTGCTTTGGGAGGTTAGAGAGTGGTTGGTTGGTTAGGTTGGGTTTTTTGAGACAGGGTCTCCTGAAACTCACCATACATATAGATCAAGCTAGCCTCAAACCCACAGGGACCCACCTCCCTCTGCCTCCCAAGTGCTGGGATTAAAGGCAAATGCCACCAAGCTCGGCTTGTTTGTACATTTTTGTTCATGTGTGTGCTGTTTGGTTTTTATTCACATCACTCCTAACTAATATTAAAATGTCCATATATAATACAAGCTTACTTAATTGGATCTAAATCACAACTCTGAGGTATATCGTATATCTGTTTTTAGTCCAGTATATAGCTGTTGAAAAGTCATGCCAAAGAGTTAACAACTTTCCTAGGATCCAGGATCTCGCTGCACTAGGTCCAGCATTTCAATCCTTGAGGAAGTTGATCGTCCCGCGAATTGATCTACAGCTTCTGCCTCTGCTGCAGAATGCTCTGAACTGCCTCTGCTCTTTTTCACTGGCTGGGCTTTCATTTTTTTAGATTTTCTAATGGTCCACATAACCCAGTGTGGACTACCAGCAGGGGGTCTGAACTCTTTGAGTTCATTGTTTATTTATTCTAGGTTTTAACACCAAATTTTATTATCAGCTTAATCTGTTTGCCATCCTTGATGGAATCCTTTTCTTTTATCATTTGCTCCCTCTTATGTTTCACTTTGTTGTGCTGTCTAAAAGTGTGTCCCAAGAAAGAAAACCACAGGGTTTTGAATTCAGAGGCCCCCATATGTCCACTGTCTGAGCCAGCCTCACGGTCTGGGATTTTGCAGTTTGCACTAGTACATCATCCACATGGATCACCAAGGGGTCACCAGTAAAACCAGATGAGTTTCCTGCTTCCATTTCCACTTTCTGTCTGAGTGTTTGGCTTCTGATCTATTGATTGTCCTTTCTGGTAGTTTAAAGGCAAACTATCATATCGGATGGAGGCCACCACCTGTCCTGGGCCTCTGACACATTTTACTGCCCTTGCCGGCTACTCTGTCAACAATGTCTACTCTTTCAGGAACAGTGGCTGCTTCCCATAGGTATTTTCACTGCACTCCTGATCTTGGGTCTCTCTTTCTGAATGATGTGATTCAGTCAAGGATTATGTGGTCTCTTAGGGGTTATGCTGCAGAGCATTTAACTTCAAAAACCCTTGAAGAGCACTTAGAAAAGGAAGGGGGAAAGACTCCTCCGGCTCAATGGTGGCCATTTTGGATTGGGTACTCACAGACCTCCAAAAACTTCTGAATCAAAAATATCTCCATTAAAAGAGTTTGGGGGCAAAGGCAACAACAGACTTGTCTGGATTCTCTAATAAGGTTTCCCTCCTTGTCCTCTCTCCCTCCAGATCTCCCTCCCCATCACACTGCCAGCCTCTCTCCTTCAACACATGCATCAACTCTACCTTCTCTTTATCCTGACCTCCAATCATTTACCAATACCTCTCCCAGGGACCTTAAATGTCTGCCTCTGAAGACTCCCTGACCCCATTCAGGAAACGATGGAGTTTATTCTTTGGACTTGAACTAAAGTAAAAACTAAACTTTCCTAAGCACAGACAAGAACAGACAATAGTCACAGAAGGATTTTCTTAGACTAGGGTGGCCTTGTATGTGACATGCCTAATTAATCACTAATAAATTTCCTGCCTCCAATTCCTAAGTGCTGAGACTGCGAGCATGTGCTACTACATGGCACAAAGAATTTACCTTTTTTTTTGAGCACAAATGAGCCAGTATTGCATGACTTACACTGACTCATGCACATACTTGTCAGAAACACAGATTATACATTCTAGATAATAAAGCTGGTTGAACTGGCCCAGAAAGAGACTTATAGATTTCCCTTCCTGTAATAAAACTGAAGGGTAAAAATGGATAAGAAGTCAAGGACTCCTCAAAGCTATACTTTATAAAACATTTCCAATAAAACTGATGCATATTGAAGCTGGAGAGATGCTTAGCAATTAAAAGCACTTGTTGCTCTTCCAGAGGACCCACATTCTATACCCAGATTCCACATCAGGTGGCTCACAAATTGACTGTAGCTCCAGTTCCAGGAGATCCAAAACCCTCTTTTGGCCTCCCTGGGCACAGCACTCATCTGGTGCACATGTATACACTCAGACACACATAAATACACATTAAATAAATAAATATTTTTTAATTAATACAATTGGACTGGGTATAATAACTCACATCTTTAATCCCATTAAATCTCTGTTAGGAAACAGAGACAGACAGATTTCTGTGAGTCCAAGGCCAGCCTGGTCTATACAGCAAGTTCCAGGACAGCCAGAGCTATATAGTGAGACCCTGTCTCAAAATGATACATGCGCTATTATTTCTACACTAAACACTGCTAGCTTTGTCCAGCCTCTTTGCTGGAGGAAAAGGACCACACAGATATAAGACAGTTCAAATAATTCACACAATTTCCCAATATCACAGTTTTTACTAAAAATCTTGGTCCCTTGACTGAAAATATTCCTCCAGCTCTGTGATGTGCTCATGAGGTCTTAAAAGAGAAAAGCCCACTTTGCATATAGACTTGTGTGATTAAGTATACACTAGGCTGGGCATAGGAGTCCACACCTGTAATCCCAGCACTCAGGCAGCTGAGAGAAGGACCACTGTAAATCTGAGGACAGCCTAGGCTATAGAGAAAGACACTATCTCAAATATATATATATTTGTATTAAATAAATATGTATTTCTGGACCAGAGTAGTCAATGTCCTTTTGCCTTTACCCAGGGAGGATGATTATATCCCTAAAGCATTCACTGGTGTCCCCACAGATTTTTTAAGTTCCTTAAACAAGGCTTAAAAGATTCAAAATTCCTCTTGTGATTAGGTCCTCATGAACTATATAAATGATCTCCTACTGTGCTCTGAGAATGAGAAGCTGGTAGAGAGGGTCTCCTTTACTTATCCCCAGCTTCAGGAAGAGACAAAAAGTTTCAAAAGAGGCTACAATTCTGTCAAGTCACAGCTCCATTGTTGTTATTTTAATTTTTACAAAGTAACGGGTTTCCTTGTGTTATTTTCATGCACAGCTGTGGTTGAGCCTTGTCCGGTGCCTCCTCTCCCTCATCTCTGTTCCCCATCTTGGTTTAAATGCCCCTGAGAACTCTCAGGGTTCCCCCTTCCATTTTCATATCACATGTGCTCTGTGACCCTCCCACCTCTGTTTTAAAGTCTGTTATTTCTCCTTCCATGGGTCCATTTCTTGTTCTCTGACGTCCATACACCTTACTTCCACCTAAATACATATATAAAAATTAGAAGCTAAGATCTCCATATGAGAAAGAATATGGGCCTCCTGTTTATAAGTCCAGGTTATGACATTTAATATGTATGTTTTGTCAGGTTTGTAAATTTTCTTCACATTCATAACTTCATTTTTCTTAATGGCTGAATAAAATTCCACCACGTGTAGGTACCACATTTTCACTATCCATTCACCACTTAATGGGCATTGTAATGGTTAGTCTCAATTGTCAACTTGATGAGACCTAGAATCACCTGAGAAATGCACTTCTGAGCATGCCTGTGGGAGACTCCCTTGATTGGACTCATTGAAATGGAAAGATGTGCCCACTGTAGGTGGCACCAGTTCCTAGGCTGAAATCCTAAACTACATAAAAGGGAGAAAGTGAGATGCACACTAGCATTCCTTGCTCTCTTCTCTCTGACTGAACGCAGTGTGGCCAGCAGCTTCAAGCACCAGTTGCCTCTCCAATTCCCACCACGATATAATGTAGCCTCGGACTGTGGGCTGAAATAAACTCTTTATCCCGTATGCTGCTTTTGTCCATGTGTTTCATCACAGCAACAGAAAAGTCAGGACAAGTCAGTTGATTCCATTTCCTTGCTATGAGGAACAGATCTGCAGTAAGCATGGATGTGCACGTGTTTTAAAATGTAGCCTAAAAAGACACAGTCAATTAGACAAAAAGACAGTCAACAGAATGGGAAAAGATCTTCACCAACCCCACATCTGACAGAGGATTGAT